CTTTTATTTGCATTGATATGTTTGTAATATTGTTCCTGTACCTACCTTGTCATAAATCGCATAGTGATGGAGGAGTCACATTGGACTTTTTTCGGCAACCTGGAGGAGGATGCGAGTGATTGGTTGTGATAGCAAGGTGTTTCGTAATTGGCGCAGTGTGAGGCCGGTGAAAATGATGAGATATAAAAGGATGCAATATGATATCGAGTTCGTGGGCTCTGGGTGGTAGTTGTTGCGGATTGTCTGACGACGCGTGAGTCGACTCAAGCGGAGTAAGGTGAAGGGCAAATAACCCACGAAAGTGGTTTCTCCGAGTTCGCCTTCGTGTGATAGGAGGTTCGAGATGAGTTGGCGAAGCAAAGTCGGAGAGATCGGGGAATTCGCCATATGAAGAGCGACCGTGAGATGGTCGACACGATGAAGATTCGCAAAGCCATTGATCCGTAGATGAATTAATAGGCACCCGCTGGTGAAAAGGCATGTATTTTTTGCACAACAATCTCAAATCGTGCCTCAAGTCGCACGGTTTCCAAGCCAGAGAAAGGGGGCTTCCCATGTCAGAACAAGTCGGGTACCACGACAGAATACCAATTCTTGTGCTGTGCGCGACCACTAAGCAAGACGTACTGTACATATTCAGAAGATCACCGAGTTCCCATATTCCAGGCGACAGTTCACCAAAGCAAACTTCCTACCGCTGCCCCGGCGACTCCCGGAGCACACATACTCGCCTGCTCGTACAATAAACTCAGCATGCACGCGACCAAAAGTCTGGCCACCGCCCACCCAGCCTTGCACCACACCCTCCCTCCACACATCTCCCACCCCCAAATGGGGAGCCACGGCTGGAGAGTATCAGACAGATATTGAGCACTGCTCTGTGATAGCAGATCCGTACGGGTAGTCAAACCGCGCACAAGTGGCAAGATCACAGCCTGACTAGCTGGAAATTCGAATTCCCTTCCCGAGAAGGAAGGTATCATAGGGAGGGAGAAATCCAGCTTAACATAGCACCACTACCACCGCCACAAAGTATGGCACACCAATCCCACTTTTCTCCACCTACCATCACTTCCCCAGCAAAAACTGGCTCCGAGAATCCTGATGGTTCCGGAAAAGTTTTGCACACCGTTTGTACCGTTGTGGCGAGTGAGGTTTTGTGACCCCACATGGTACCGCAATCATTGTACCTCCATGAAAAAAATGCCTCCTCTGTATTCTTGTATCTGGCAAGTGCCAGAGGATACAGCCATTGCTGCGCGATCACCAACCAGCGGAAAAGAAAGAAAAAAAGAACCTGTCTCATTTTCAGATACTTGTAGATATAACCACTGTACTAGGATGGCAATTGCTGGGCAGATGATCTAGACCAATGCTGCCCCTACACCACCCATCCATTCCCCCTCCACCTGGCTAGCTCCCAATTTTCTTGCAACAAAACCCCTCCTCCGCAATCAAACATGGAAAAAAAGAAAAAAGAAGAAAACTCCCATACCCCTCACTTCCCCACAATGCCCAAGGCTCCCTCTACTCGAGTACCACTACGAACACCGTATGCTCCGAGTAAATACAAAGCAGATGCGATAATGCCTAGAGAGCTTATTTTCTGTGGCGCAACGCCTCCCCCTATCCAAACCGGCCAAATATGTAGTGGTAATGAAAAAAAAAGGGAAGCATTAGCAAAAGACGAACGAAGGCCTTACTATCACGCAATACTCAAGCACTTCGTTTGGCTCTACAGTACCCAGTACTGTACGGTACTGTGCTGTGCTGGGCTTTTGGTGTGTTAGGAATACTGGTATCGTACACGGGCGGGATTTGGGTATGGTGCCATAGCGGGCTTGGGTTGTTTTTTGCTCAAGTAGGGTCGGGATTGGTGTGAACTCTATGAACAGCGGACAAGTATAATTTCCCGAACAGGGATTAACCGAATTTATGGCCAATATTCCGTCCGTGTCTGAACCCAATACTCCTATTAGGATACTTCTGACCGCTACCTGTATCTATCGGTCTTCTAAGTTAAACTTGCTCTCCGCAGGTGCAGAACACGGTAAATAGGTTAATATAGGCACGCAGGTGTGTTCCCCCCTAGGCGAGGAGGGAGGGGTAAAGTGGGGGCTTACAGAAGGCGCGTGCACGGGTAAGGCGTGATCTGGCTGGTTATGATATACGTTCTTGGAGCTGGAAAGTCCCTGGAATTGTTATCGTAGTAAGGGGTTAATTCGACGAGCTCGCTATGGGGCTTGGGAGAGCTGAAGATTTGAGGAATGGCTGGACTATCATTATCGCGCTTAACGACTTATTCCGCGGCCAAATTATTACTCCAAGATGAAGCGATTGAAACTTCAGAAATCCTGCATATATTATCGTAAGAAAAACTAAACCTGATGAACACCCACCCCTCGTTCGCAGCGCCATACCTGTAACCGGCAACGACGGTCCGTACAACCCCAAATTTCGCACATGTACTGTAGCTCCATCCCACGAGAGAGAGAACCCCGAACCCAGACTGCGATTACAGGTAATCTTGAAAACTCAAATCGCCCCAGATACCCAAGACCCCTTCCAGTCCAGGGCACTGGGACATCGGCATGAGGCACGAGTGGCCAGAAACCCTGCAGAAAATTGGGGGAAATAATTATAATAGTCCCAAGTTCCATACTCCTCCACAGACAATCTAGTTCACCGCCGCACGATACCCCCTTACCCCCTACAAACACTTCCCGCTAGCAATTCCAACCGGAATGTACTGTACTCGAGTACTCGAGTAATCTATTGAAACTCTGACCCTGATTAACGTGTGATAATAAGGTATCCCGACTGATTGTTCTCCCAGATCTGTGGTGGTGGCTGTTGGGATGTGTTCTGCTGTCGCAAGGCTGGGGGCAGCTGCAGTCAAATTAGGATTGGGGAGGTGTGGGGGCTGTTTGTGCAAAAACCGAAGCGAGCCATGTTGGTTGTTCCGCCCGCGAGCACGCCATCGTCCTTGGTTCTGGCAGCATATTCGACCACACGGAAACTTCAATAGATCTAAGGTATCATATGTATCATACAGTAAACTATGCCAGATTCGCCAAACAACCAACCCCACGGTTCCGGTGAAACTGGTAACTTTTCGTCCACAGGTAAATTACCCGGAAAGAGGAGACTGCACCGGTATTGTGCGGGCAAGGTACTGTACTGTACCGTACAGCACAGTGACGGTATCTGGGTGGCGTGGATAATACCACTCTTGCTCGCAAAGGCTGCTGTCAAGGTGGTGCACAGTATCCTAATGCGTGCTTGAATGCGGAGAAACGGAAGGAGGAGGTGGATTGATTGATAGACAAATACATTTACCCTCTTTGTTTTTCGCAAGCCGTTTGTCCGCTTAGCACGATAACCTCAATCGCGATGCACTCCACGGCTGCCTCAAGATGGGGGGGGGAGTCGCACGAGTACCGGTACATGGCTGCGACAATAGGTATGATACTGCAGAAGGAGGAAATTCCACCACTCTGGTAAGCCAAAATTTCCAACAAGGTAGTACCATGAAACACCTTATTGTGCTCAAATGGCCGTACCCCACGGTGAACTCCTTCCTCGCCACTATCCACATGTGCTCGCACAGCACAGAGGGTGCATACTGGTACGGTGCGAGCACTGTTAGATTGCATCCATCCAGACCCTTCATTTCGCCTCGTGGGTGTCTCTTGAACTTGGCACCCGGACCATCCACACCTACACCTGCACGAATAGACTCAACAGAATAACGATAAAAGCACCGGTAACCGCCGGACCGGATATCAACACAGTTTAACGATCTCGCGTCATACGGAAGGATAATGTGGAGATGTCAGAGAACCCATTCCGCGAGCAGCGGTAGGTTTAGAGCGCCGGTAGAGGCATTTCGAACTCCCCAGACAGACAAACGAATGGACCCCCGCCAATTCTCATCCATTCCACCAAGCTGTGGGGCGATGGATCGCCCATCAATAGCTCTTTGTTTTATCCACCTGGCTGTGGCTCGAGCAGGCTACCGTACACGCCAGATGCAAAAGTATCCGGGCAACCCACGGGCCCCTAGCCTTAGGTCACGTATAAATTTGAATGAGGGTTTGGTGCCTGGGCATGACCCCCATCCGGATACTTTTGCGTTACCGGTAAGAGGAGGAACGGTATCTGTCGGTCGCACGACAGTAAGAACAAGCAAATGAACGGCGGGGAGCTAATCAAAGCACCATCCGTGTTTACACAATAATCGAGCTCCATACCGTACTACAAGTAGTACTCGAGTACGAGTACTGCGCTCATACCGGTACACAAGATGTCTTTTTTTCTTTCTTTTTTTTAACCGCCCAACATCCCCGATTGGTTAGTCAACCTGCCTTGTACCGTACGGAATTTCCGTCATGAACTTGAGTACCGGTATTTGTTTTTTCTCGCGGAATTGCTTTTTGGTAGAGAAAGCTATGTCCGCCTATTGGATAGGGTAGTGCCGGCCCTTCCCAGCACTGCGACCGGCATGCAAGTACCAGCAGAGCACTCGAGTACGATGTACAGTATGATCACCGGTAGTCCTGTAATACCTGCGAATCTTGCTCTAGTGAAGCAGGTGTTCGCGCTAATCCCAGACCACCGCGATAACAACGGGAATCGATTGGACTACAAGTGCTCGAGTAGAGATCAGAATCGCCACTTGGGCCGATGGGTAAAATTGTTCCTCTACTTCTCCCCCCCCCCGAGTCTCGGGAGTCTTCTCAGTACGAGTAGATTTCCCTGGCGTACTTTTGATCACTAGCAGCCGTCAATTTGAGGGGTCCGATTTCGCGTGATGCCGCCCCGCAATGTCGCCTTCTCCGAAACCTTTGATTGGTCCTCGTGACGTCAAGCTTGCGGGCTAACCCTCCTTGCTTGCCCTGTTCACCACCATCCGCGATGTTCATATTGTCTCTCACTTGTGCAATATCATCATACCAAAATGCCTGTCCTATCTTCCTTCTTTTTTCTCTAGGGATGCAGGATTCCGTGAAAGAGATGTTGTACGAGTGTTTTGTGTGAGGTGACTCGTGCTTTCGAATTGAGGGGGATTGTGCTGATTCACCTGCATTAGGTTTGTTATACTCTATCTTCCTTTTTTTTCCCTGCGATTGGTGATATTTTCCTGCGACTAGCATTGAGAGAGACAAAAACGGGGATCATGGAGGAGGGGAAGAAAGAAGGGAGGGGGGTTACTGTACTATTGTGCTACTGTACTCGTGGGGTATCACACCCCTTCTACGGTAGACTTCCATTTAGTGGCGGCACGGTAAAGGGGATACCTGTGATCGAGTAGACTGGACTGTTCCGTTGGTAGGCCGATAGATAGAGTAGTTGTTGTAGGAGGGCCTTTGTTTTCTGCCATACAGTACTCGAGTAATTACCGATTATAATATAGTAATAGCATCCTTACCCCGGAAGTGGAAGTGGAGGGCGTGCTAGCGCCGTACCACCTACGAACTTGGGAAAGGATCCTATACATATAGTCCCAGTTCCCACTTCCATTTCCTCCTCTTTCCCTTCCCTCTCCCTCCTCCCTCCTCCTTCTCACCTCGCTCTGTCTTCCCCCCCTCCCTTCCATCTTTCATCCGGGGTCCCTATTTCATAAATTGTCCGTTCATCCGTCTATCCGCCGGTTCCCTTCTTCTCTTCACCCTACAGCACAGCACGGTAAACCTCCCCCCCCGAATGTCGGCCCCCGTATCTACGAGGGTAGGCCACGCCTTAGCGTGGTTTCTGCGGATAGACCTGAACCCAGGCCAGCGTGCCAAGGAGGCTCCAGTTCCTATATCGACAGAAGATCAAGATGGGAACAGCCCGGGGACAACATATATCGAGCAAGAGCCAACTGTACTAGAGTTCTTCCAGCAATTCGAACCATCGGTGCCCAGCTTTGTCTCCTACCTCCTTAGCCTTGTGCCGTTTGTTTCGTGGATCGGGAGATATAATCTAAAATGGTTGTATGGAGATCTGGTGGCGGGGATTACGGTGGGATGTGTCGTCATTCCTCAAGGGAGTAAGTTTCCCATTCTTCCAATTTTCCCGAATGTTTTGTTTTTCGTCTCCTCTTTTTCCATCCTTCATTTGTGGGTGGTTTGGAGCGGTTACATACTGTACCCCCATCACTTTGTTGGAATGAATTGGTGAATCGAAGCTAATGCACTATTTCGTAATTGCATTATAGTGGCATATGCCAAGCTCGCACTCCTCCCCGTTGAATTCGGTCTCTATTCCTCATTCGTCGGAGTCATGATCTACTGGTTCTTCGCAACCTCAAAAGATATCACAATCGGTCCCGTAGCTGTAATGTCTACGCTAGTAGGCAACATCGTCTCACAAGCCCCAAAAGGTTTCCCCTACGCAAAGTACGATATTGCCTCCTCCCTAGCCCTCGTTGCAGGTTCGATCGTGACGGCAATGGGTCTTCTCCGTCTGGGCTTCGTGGTAGAGTACATCCCCCTCACAGCAATCGCCGCATTCATGACAGGCTCTGCCATTAGTATAGCAACGGGCCAGGTCCCAACTATGCTCGGTATCTCCAGCTTCAACACTCGTGCGGCTACGTATAAGGTCTTTATCAATATCCTAAAGCACCTTGGGGAAACGAAGATAGATGCAGCAATGGGATTGACCGCCTTGTTCCTATTGTACCTTATTCGTTGGATCACTAGCACCTTCTTGCCGAAGAGGTACCCTAATCATAAGAAGACTTGGTTTTTCCTGTCCACCTTGAGAACCGCGTTCACGATCCTGTTGTATACTTTGATTTCTTGGCTAGTGAATCGGAACCGTCGCAAGAAACCACTCTTCAAGATCCTCTCAACCGTCCCGAGTGGGTTCAAGCACATGGGTGTTCCAAAGGTGAACTCTGACATCTTCAACGTTTTCGTGGGGGATTTGCCGGCGACGGTTGTTGTGCTGTTGATCGAGCATATTGTATGTTCCGCTCCACCCTCAATCACTAGCTGCTAAATCACCCGCTAACAAGGAATAATAACAGGCGATCTCGAAGTCGTTTGGTAGGATAAACAACTACCAGATTAACCCATCTCAGGAACTCATTGCGATCGGAATCACCAATATCTTCGGCCCATTCTTTGGTGGATACCCGGCCACTGGATCATTCTCCCGCACAGCTATCAAGTCGAAAGCCGGCGTGCGCACACCCTTCGCTGGAGTAATCACTGGCGTCGTCGTCCTGATGGCTATTTACCTCTTGACCTCTGTGTTCTATTTCATCCCCAGTGCCAGTCTCTCCGCCGTTATCATCCACGCCGTCGGCGATCTGATCACTCCTCCCAACACTGTGTACAAATTCTGGTGCATCTCCCCGCTAGAAGTGATCGTCTTCTTCGCGGGTGTCATCGTAACAATATTCACGAATATTGAGAATGGAATTTACGTTACTGTTGCACTGTCCGCCGGTGTCATGCTATTCAGGATTGCGAAGGCGAGAGGGCATCTACTAGGCAAGGTCGAGGTGCGCTCGGTCGCAGGTGGTAGTCTATATAGTGCGGATGACCGCAGTGACCGAGGGAGTGATGTCGCGCCGTATACTGCCCCGGCAGGGTTGGTAGAGATCAGTGTGTCGAAGAAGGCTCTGGGGCGCAGTCATGAGAACAATGGTTCCAGGAATGTTTACCTACCATTGGATCAAGCAGACGGCTCAAACCCAAGCTTAAAAGTCGTAAGCCCATATCCAGGAATCTTCATCTACCGCTTCTCCGAAGGTAACCCCCTTCACTTCCTCCTCCCTCCTATAATCCCCAACTAACAACATCCAGGCTTCCTCTACGCCAACGCCTCCCACTACACCGAAAACCTTGTGCAGCACATCTTCGCCACCACCAGGCCAACCGTCTCCACCATAACCACCGACGTGGGAGACCGAGCATGGAACGACCCCCCACCCAAGTCTTCTAATACAGCCTCCACAGAGAGGTTGCCCACACTTCGCGCGGTAATTCTAGACTTCGCCTCGGTGAACAACGTAGACATCACCTCGGTGCAGAACCTCATCGACGTGCGCACACAATTAGACCGATACGCGGCCCCCGACACGGTGGAATGGCACTTCGCCTCCATCGGGTCCCGCTGGACGAAGCGCGCCCTAACCGCAGCCGGATTCGGATTCCCCAGCGATATAGAGGGGGAGAACAACAACAAAAGGAAGGCCGGGTGGGCTCCCGTGTTCTCGGTCGCGAGCGTTGAGGAGACGGTTGTTCTTGATGGGAACCACGTGGAGAAGGAAGGCTTTGATGTAGAGGGCGGGAGACCACTAAATGGGAGCCGCTCCTCCAAGGATGTGGAGGAAGGAGTTGGAAGGATCGGAACCCCAACTGGTGCTGGTAAACGGAGGGTTCCCGTCGTGGTTGGCGGGATTAATAGGCCGTTTTTCCACGTTGATATTGATGGGGCGCTGAGGAGTGCTATCGCCTCGATTGAGAGTCGGTAAATTTTGTTAAATTTTTTTCTCCTCCCTTTTCCTTCTGCTAAGGAATTGGTTTTTTTCTTCTCTTTCCTTGTGCGTCCGATTGGCTAGTTGGTCTTTGCTTTTTTCAGACAACAGGGAAAGACAAATTGATTCCCGTTTATACCACATCATACTCTTATTTATTTTTCACAAGGCAAAAAGATTCCTCGTGTTTTCCTTTTGAAAAGAAAAAGAAAAAAAAGGTTAACGGCGATATTCGAGGATGGACTGGCAAATATTACATAAAAAGTGGACGAGAACGCAAGGCAGCCTACCGTAATCCCGCCTCTCTAAGGCCACAGTACGGCCTCGCAAAGGAATAAAAACTTGTACAATAGTTGATTACGCGTCAGGTGAGCCAGCGGGTTCACATCATGTACATAGATGCAGACCAGACAGTGCAGCTCTTTATTAACTAATATCACCTCTATTATCCCACAGTGGAGGGAGATGGTAGTGTGCGGTCTGTATGATAGCAGCAATCTCAGACAGAATCCAGGGGGGTCATCGCGCGATAGCAAACAGCCTCACTACATACCCACTATCCATGCCAGGATTCACCCGTTCAATGTCGATATCCCGTCCATAGCCAGCGCGGGGGGGGGGGGTGCGAATCCCTGAGGGGCACAGAATATCACTCGGGGAAAGGGTTGCTTGCTGGTCGCTTTAAACGGATTCGCCGAAGTGCGGAACGATGCCGATTAGACTTGACTATGATATTGTGCATAAACTATTGTACAGTACAGAGCGAAATATAACTGTGGAAATGGAGAAGAAGCAATGATAACTTGTGGATTCTAAATCTGGTTGATGCAGGAGGTGCTCGGTTATCTGGATAGGAGAAAGAAGAGAAAAGAAGAGAAAAGAAGAGAAAAGTCCAGAGCAGGAGAAAAGGAAAGGAAATGATGGTCACAAATTGTCACTCGTGATCCAGAACTGGAACCTGTTATGAATTGGACGGTTTTGTTGTGCGGCGGAAGATTATTGATTAAGTTCTACAGCTAGCTAAGCGAAACAAGAATGGTATATAGTTATACCCAAACGCAGTCACACAACTAATGATACGGAATACACACTTCCACGTACCACCCAGTACAACCCAGCATGCGCAATAGTGAGTAAGAAGCCTAAGCACTTCTCTCACGATATATCAACCCAGAGGAGTAATTCTCAACAGAACCTGGACTTCCCGCCTCCGGGTGAACCTCACCCACAGGTCTGGTTTATCCCAGAGCACAAAGCTGGTACTATCCCGGTTGAGGTCCACGTCCTTATTCACCAGCTCCTGTCGTACACCCAGAACATCTTTGATAGTACTAGGCGAATTTCTTTCAGTGCGAGGCTGCGCCAGAATGGTTAGATTAGCCGGAGTGAGCGGGGGAGAGGGAACGCACTTCCTGCCAATACAGGCCCGACTACCCAGCGAGAATGGCTAGCTAGCGTGCTTATCCATACAGTCAGGATCCAGCCATCGTTCTGGCTTGAATTCCTCTGGGTCGTGGAAGTTCTCTGTGGAGCGGCAGGTGGACCAGGGGCTTGCTGATAGTTCGACCTTCTTTGCTCAATTTTTTAGTATAGTGCATGGGATAAACTTGAGGCTGAGGGGGAGGAAGTGGCAAATCGTACTCCTTTGGGGATATATATCTCATCGACCGTTTCCCCGGGGCTCTCGCGGTACGTTCCGATCGCAACGGGTGGGTATATGCGTAATCCCTCGTCGATGATGGCAGAAAGGTACTTTAGTTTCGCTGCGTTGGTGTCCGTGATTCCCCATATGTCTTGTATGCTGAGCGGATTTCTCCAACGAGGAGGTTGTATACGCGGGGGTTTTTTAGGAGGTGGTAGGTTGTGCCCGAGAGGAAGGTTGCCGTGGTTTCGGAACCGGCAGTGCCGTTGGGGTGGCAGGTTAGCTAGGGTAACGCACCTTAGCAGAATGCTAATGGGTAGTGATGGTACATGATTGTGCTGGCCTGGCCAGATAATTCGGGGACAGTCATGCCTGGACCATTGGGACCAAACTGTCCGGAAAGTAAATCCCTGCGAGTGGTCTTCGTATCCGTTCGTCTTTGATTATAAGTTAGCTGGTTTTGGGCCATTTCTGCCTTTAGGGGGGTACTTACTGAATGATCATCTTCCGGCTGTATTCGCTATGCTTGATCCTCATCTCCATGGCACTCTTCGGCGGGTTCCAGACACCCAAATTTTCGAACAGAGGGAACCACCGAGAAACACTCCACCAGGCAATTTCCCTAACATTCCCGAGAAGCAAACTAACCCAAAAGTGTGGTTTTGCTACACCAAATTAGTATCCCTCAGCAAACATTTATGGAAATACCGAAGGGCAGAACGCACCATCATTCAAACTCCCAAACGACTGCCCGAAAGCCAGATCCCCGATCAAATCAAATGTGAAGAAATTATACCACTTCACCATTTCATCCCCCTGCGGTCCCGTCGCGTACACGTTAATCTGCCCGATCAACTTATCCACATAACCCTGAACAATATCCTCCTGCTCCAGCAAAGCCTTCGCCGAAAACCCGTGCGAAAGCTTCAGTTTCATCTCAGAGTGCTTCTGCGGATCCCGTTCACAGATCAAGTGCCGCGTCCCGAACGCGTAGAAATGGGATTTTGGAAAACGCTTTCGGCTATATGAGTGGCCATAATGTCGCGCCAAGAGCTAGCGGAGGAGAATGAGAGATGGTTGGGCCCGATGCGGACCACCGTCCCGTATCTGTCGTGGAGGGACTTGATGTAGAAGGGGTATCGGCCGCTGAGGAAATGGTAGGCTACTATGAACTATTTTGAGGGATGATTGACGGATCCCAAGTGAGGAGGGTGATAAGAACTAACATCGGTTGCTGAGCAGAGTTTGGGCCCTGGGATCTTGGATAGCGGATGGAGGAGAACGTTGTAAAAAGCCCTTCCCAATACAAACACTGCGCCCTGCAATTCTTAGCTTTGCTTCGTTGGGCGTAAGGTACGATAGAAGTTTGAATTACCAGTATGACCGAAAATGCGACGATCTCCCGCGCGCCCATGACTAGAGGGTACAGGTAGCTAACACGTGCTGGAGACATTACCCCGCGAGGACCGTGGTACGGTACTTCTGGCTCCGGGAAAGTCCCAACGGTATTGTTCTTAATAGTTAGGTGGTTATTACCGATAGAATGGGATTCCTAGTGTACAGATCGAAAAACCACCAGGGGCCTCGAGCTGTTTATAACGCGGATTGAGCCCCTTCTAGAAAAGCCCCCCATATCCAGCTCTAGCCCCAGAGCTCCTTTCTACCTATCATACCAACCTACTTGCTCGGTAATGCTTTACGGGGATATCTCAACTCTTACCGGTCATTACTGGCTGCCGCCGGGAGAGATCACCTACCGATCCTAAGGGTATCACCAACGAGAGGGACGGATTGGTCCCTGCTAAACGGCAGAGCCTCCAATATCATTCCAGATCCTTACATGTATTAGAGAGATGTCCCGAAAGATCCTTAAACCTAATCTCCTGAACAGAAAAATTTAAGAAGTTTCCAATCACTACGGCTCACTCGTCTCCAACATCCATAAGTGCCGTATAATCCCAAATAATTGAACCGTGCGATATGTGGTAGGAGTTGCCTCCTCCGGTAATTTCTGGTGTCTTTTGTTTGTTTGTTTCAGAAGGGCGGTGGGGCAGCTCCTTCTTTTGCCGTGCTTCTCGCCGTTTTCCACAGTAGGGAATTCCCGACTACATGACATTTATGGCACAGGTTTCAATTACGATACTGTATTTGGAATTCTACGGCAAGTTATGTGTGCTAGAGGAGGGTTAGGGTTTCTCCACCACCAACTGGTCCGCATCAGCCACTTGGTCCCAATCGCCACAACTCAGGCGAAATATAAGCTAACCGAACCTAATAGCCGGTTCCCCTTCTATTTCCGTTGCTCATTGGCGGGAAAAGCAAGTGTGACGCGACACTTTTTTTTTTTGTAGATATGCTTATATAATACAAGTTATTAACCACATATCCCCATGTCTGCAAAGGTTATATTGCTTCAATCTCAAGCTACAAAATCAGCATTCTGAGTAATAGAATCATACGATATACATGAAGAATCAGAATCAGATTCACAAGCCAAGTCCTCACAATCACTCTCCATATTCTGTATGATAGTGCTTCCTCCAATAGCCTAGGTTCTCGTATATGTCTACAACTCTCTAATTTTATCTATATCAGCAAGTAATTGAGGATCAATAACTCCCACAAGTTCAGAAGAATCAGGTTCAAGTAGCAATGAAACTTGTAAAAGGTCAGAGGGTGGTTGAAGTGACTCAAGATCCTCATGGGTGGGATTCTTTTCAAGATCAGAAATAGGAGTTAAAAGCTCTGCCGGTACAATTCCATTTTGTACTTCAATACTTTTGATTTGTTTCTTTCTGTCCCTCATAGCTTTATTCGTAATGTCATAACGTTTGTGAACATGACTGGGCTTGCATTAGGGCTTGCATTAGGACTTGCATTAGTGTATGTTAGGAGGCATTTCATGGGTAACTAATCAGAAGTGGACAAGTTATAAAACCTGATATAAATCAGTACAAAAGTACAAATAATGTTCACTGTAATTCAGAGTGGAGCAAACCTGTGACTTCTTGAAATCAAATCTCCAAAATGTCAACTCCAAGAGGGACACCTTCCCTGAGCAAGAGAGGTCAAATCATGGGTTACGCCACATTGGACGGGCCTCAGAAGATGACGATGAGGCAGATCTCGGAAAGAACCAGTGTTTTAGAGAATACCTGTTCAAATAATATTAAAACAGCAAAACAGCGAGCAAGCGAAAATAGGATAACAGACCTCTGCGCACCTGAAAACCTCTCCGCATTGCCAACCTGATTGAAGGGTACAAACGAAGCTCTGACTGGAAGGGAGAGAGAACATCTAGTAGAAACCACATTAAAGGATGTAACGTGTTCGCAGGGTGCTAATCACATTATCGGTAATAGATATGATAGTTGGCAGGTGGCCTGCTCTACTAGAGAGGAGGCGAGAGCTGAGAACTAAAGGAGGCTTCGAGGGTGTACTGGGGAACAAAGAAGTAACCGTTCAACCAAGTATATTGAAATACTGTCTGTCGAAGTCTGCCTTTTCTATCATAGAAACAGGGGGTCTTTAAATACACAAATCTGTTCATGTCTAGCATGAACGAAACTAATCAAAGGTATCAATTGATACTCTTTGGTAAAACTCCATAAGTATCAAAGCAATACTTAAAACAAAACATAAAACAAAACCAAGTATCAAACGATACTTAAAACAAACCAAGTATCAAAGCGATACTTAAAACAAAACATAAAACAAAACCAAATATCAAACCATACTTAAAACAAACCAAGTATCAAAGTGATACTTAAAACAAAACATAAAACAAAACCAAGTATCAAACGATACTTAAAACAAACCAAGTATCAAAGCGATACTTAAAACAAAACATAAAACAAAACCAATAACTGAGTACCCGTACTGGTTACATTCCCCAAAACGAAACAACTGTTTAAACAAATAAAAACTAATAATCATCCAAAGTGGATTCCGAGAAACTCTTCATCATAAGTATCACACCAGGGACAAGAGGAAATCTTAAGAAAACACTTAGACTCAAAGAAATGTAAATCACAGTAGTCACGAATACTAGATTCGCATTGTACATCAACCCAAGCGTGATCGCAATCAGGACAGTAATCTATCCAGAGGATTTTGAAGTAGTCTTCAAGTTGGATAACAATGCGGTTCAACAACAGTCCAACAATCTGTTATCGCAGCCTCACATTGAGCTCCACATAGTTTGACATCGTTATGGTATTCGGATGGTGATTGGTGACTAGATAAAGTTGTTGAGAGGCTGCTCCATAGCTTGATTCACCTCATCGCTGCTTTCGAATTCCGACTCAAAGTATGGTGCCCAAAATCCATCTCTAGCTTCGAGTTCTGCATGCTATCGCTCAGCTTTTGGCATTGTAGGTGTCCAGCAGATGGTGATATAATTGATTGTTGGGGGGAGGAATTCGTTTGGCATGTTATTTTTCCACCATTCATTTACCATTTCCATGGCGTGCTCTAGTCCTTCTAGTGGTTCCCAGCTGTTCTCCCTCGTCGGATATCCTTTCCATTAGACTAGGAACTGATCATTTCCATGCCAAAGGCGGTGGTCTCAGATTTCTTCAACTTCCCATTCATCTTTCTTTTCAATGATGATAGGGGCAGTTCGAGAGTGGGTTCTTCCAGGGAACTTGGAGTCGTCATTTCGGTGGAATCGTTTGACAGCAGAGGCGTGGAAAACTGCAGTATTGCGATGATACATGTGTCCATCCATCTGAACAGTGTAGTTCTCTGTATGCTCGTCAAAGGATATGACTTTAAAAGGTCCTCGCCATCGGGGTTGCAGTTTCTTGCTGCGTCCAACATTGGTTATGAACATGTTTCGATGTACCATGAGCATATCACCTGGTAGAATAGGGACATGTTTGCATTGTCGCTTCTGAGCAATAGCGGTGCTTCGGAATCGGGGAGCTTTAACAGCTTGGAAGGCATCATTCCGAATTGCTTGATGGCGGTTTAGATGATCGTCGGAGGCAGGAACTGAGGAGTTCTCAAATAGTGTTGTTGGTAGGAGGGGGTATTGGCGGCCAAAGACTGCCTTGTATGGTGACATTCCCAAAGTATCCGAAAATCCAGCATTGATCTATACAGCGAGCTCAACAACGGCTGGTTCCTAGTTGGTTTGTCATTCATTGATCATATTCCTGATTCCTGTCTTAACTTCGGGGATTTTTCGTTCTGCTTGACCATTAGTCTCATGGTGTCCAGGGGCAGCCATAATGTGGTTGATTCCGAAGGAGGTCAAGGTTTGCTTCCAGAATCTGGTGGTGAACCGGGGATCAGCATCACTGACAATAGATAAGGGGTACCCATGGGGGGTAAATAGGTGTCTTTGGAGGTTATTCCAGGTGTCTTTAGAGGAATCAGTAACCTTCATTGGTATGAGCCATGTATATCCAGAAAATCGATCCACAGCTACCAAGATGGTGTCATATCCAGCGGATTTATTGAATGGTCCTGCGAAGTCGATGGCATAGGATTCGAATATTTCACATGGTAGTTGGAGAGTCTGTGCTTTCCCTTCAGGTAGTTGCGTTTGCTCTTTATTTGCCTGGGAGAGTTCACATTGTTTGACGAAATCGCTGAGATCGTTGCGCATTTCAGGCCAGTAAACATATTCTGAGACATATTGAAGGTTGCGGTCCGCACTGTGGTGTCCTTTGTTGTGAATCTCGCAGATGACATATTCTCTTATAGTCATTCCATTGAACATATGGCCTTTTGGGACGTATAGGCAATATTGACCATAATGGGTGCTTGTATGGACCATTCTATTGGATATGTTGTAGGGGGGGAGGTCTCCATGCCCGGAGCTATGCATGGCTTTGAAGTAAATCGGATCATGGCGATATCCTGCTATCAATTGGCTTCGGAAAGAGGAGGTTAATTCTTCTGTGGTTGATCTAACATCTCGTTCATCCTCAATCAGGTATCCTCTTGTTGGTTCGATAGGGGCATCCTGCTCCTCAAAGATTTCATAAAGTTGTCGGCAATGCTCGGGAATAGTAGGGGGTATGACCGAGACAATGGTTTCATTGTTGTATACTCGTAACGGTCCACGATATAGTGGTCGTGAATCGATTATTGGAGGAGAAGATGGCGGGGCTGACTGTGGGGGGTGTAAATAGGATATTGCATCCACGTAGGCTGCTGCTTGTTCGAGTTCTTCAAGACCTTGGTATCGTGTTGGAACAGGATTGAGGGTATGAGGAGGTTGGGTCGATTTATCTTCATCGATCATCTCTTCTGCTCCTTCTGCGGTGTCGAAGCTAGTGTTTTTGGAATCATCAGCAGGCATATAGTACGGTCACTGGTATCTGTTGCCGAATTTGATCTCAGTTTGGTGAAAAGGGCAAGTGTCATGATAACAGTGGGACCAGTGGAGTCTGCTTTGTTCAAGTTCATGAGGAGGTGTGCTGCGGAGCGTGCAATTGTCTT